GATATCGTTCTTATTGCAGACAGCTTTGATCAGGCACAGATAATGCTCCAAGAACTCCATACTGCCACAAAAAGTTGGTCTTAAAATAAATTTTTCAAAAACAACAAAAACATCTCAGTAGAAGACAAAGATATTGAGCCAGTTGACTCCTATAAATCCTTGGGGCCATGAGATCAGAATAAGTCGAGACAACCAAACAATCGAGCTGAAAAGAAGAATAAACTCGCTTGGACTGCATTGGAAGATGAAAGATATTTTTTAGGTCTAAGATTCCAATGTGTCTGAAAAGAAAAGTATTTAATCATTGTATTTTTCCAGTGATGACCTAGCGGCCGTAACACTCACAAGAACAACAGTGAGTAAACTACAAGTTGCGGAAAGAGCATATGGAGAGAACCCAAAACAGCACAAGTACGTCCCATGGACGTCCAAAGGATGTACCTCATTAAATGTCCGGACATCCCACGGACATCCGTTTACATAATTTGGACGTCCCCGGGACGTCCAATAAGAACTAAATGTTACCAAAAAGTACGTCCCCTGGACGTCCCAGGGATGTTCATGGGGACGTACATAGTACATATACAGAACTTAATACGGACTTATATAGGACCTAAGAAGGATGTATTGGGGACATCTATTGTACGTCCACATGGACTAATATAGGACCTAAATGAGGATGTATACAGGACCTAAAGGGAACTTAAAATTAATAAAATGAAAAGCAAAAATAAATGGGATTTTTATTGTGTACTTATATTAACATATGTATTTAAATTTATAGTATTTTTTAAGCACATTACTCCTACTTACTTTACAAATGTAGCAACACACCACAACCACAAAAATTACCTATAAAAGTCCTATATACCTACTTAATGTCTATAATAATAAATTACCAAACTATAAACTAGTATCGAAAGCAATAAACTAATTCTAATTACAACCACAACCACAATGATTATAATTCGAGAAATAAACGAGATAAATAGAAGCGTCGTTAAAACATAACCACATTCTTCTTTTATCTCCTAATTTTTAAATTTCAGTTCCACTACAGAACAAAATTTTAGAGATACAGCTCTGCTATAGGATAAAGATTTTTCTCTAAAAGGAGCCTCTGTCTGTTTTCGTATAAATTAATGGTATTTAAAACTAAATATAACTTTTTAAAATAAAGTTTAGTAGGAAGATTATATTTTGTAAAAAATATGCTTAAGTAAAAAAATGACACAGTTAACACCTAGAAAACGTCCCTAATACATCCCTAATGGGACGTCCCTTGGACGACCTTATGGGACGTCTCTGGTATGTCCGACTAGAAATATCCCTTGGACGTCCCTCGGACGTCCAAAAGAAGTCCCGGGACGTTTGGACCTTAAAACGACATAAAATGGACGTCCCAGGGATGTCCTGTGCTGTCTGGCAATAATGTTAGGGATTTCTCTACGTGATAGGATACCCAATCCTACTATACGCAAAAAATCAGCAGTAGCAGACGTTATTGAAAGGATAACAACACTAAAGTGGAACTGAGCAGGTCATGTAGCGAGATCAGTTGATGACCGGTGGACAAAAAGAATTTTGTGAGCTGTGAGAGGCCTATGTTCAGCAGTGGACGTTAGAAGGCTAGTTGATGATGATGAATCAATTGTAGTAGACGTTACTTATCGTGTCTCAATATGTGGCCTAGATATTCAAGCTTTATTTGTTTAATTATGCTCACGATTTCCTTCTCCTTTCCGATTCTTTTCATTATCTCTATGTTGGTGACATGTTTGGTCCAGGATATATGAAGAATGCGTCGGTACACCCACATTTCGAATGCTTCTAGTTTTTTCGTGAGCGTCTCTGTCAGCATCCAGGCCTCCACACCATATAGTAAGTTCTGAAAAATGTAGCGTTTAACTAGACGTAGTTTTAGGGGAAGAGACAAATCCTTGCTTATGAGGAGCTTTTTCATATTGTTTTGCATTTTCGTTGGTGCCAAGATTCTACATGGTCAATTAGTATGTTACTTATCCGTAATTGTCAAGCAGGTTGTTGCTTTTTGCTTATCAGCATCCACTTTGTCTTCTTGAAGTTGAGGCTCATGCCGTATTCCTCACTAACTAAATAATCTCTTTCCATTACCTGCTGTAATTCGTCTATGTCTACATCGTCTGCTAACTAAACTAAATCGGTAAATAATGCGGATTGTTATCAATCAGTTGTTGGTGTGTTGACACTTTACATTAAAATAATAAATTCCTAATTAAAAGCTAATTTTTTGCAAAAATAAAATTGAAATATTTAACTGAGACCCACCAAATTGAGATTTTAATGATGATCAGTTACGGGGAGAATTGTAGAAGTCAAGTTGAAGTAGCAAACTCATTTAATCAGAGGTATCCTCAGTTGCATGAGTATTTGTATTTGTATTGCTCAGTATTTGTTCGTGCATTTAGTTTACCTTCAATAAACACCAAAATTCTGATTTTATATGTTTCGTTATTTAAAAAACATAAATGATGTATCCTCCATATGTTACTGACTTACTAATATGTTACTGCAAATTCCTCGGCAGAATGTAGTAGGATCTGGTTACCAATATTGAAAGAGGAAGTTATTAATAAGAAAATACCAGTATTAGTAAGTCAGTAACATATGGAGGATACATCATTTATGTTTTTTTAAATAACGAAACATATAAAATCAGAATATTGGTGTTTATTGAAGGTAAACTAAATGCACGAACAAATACTTACCATGTCGGGATTAGTATTATGAGGTTTTTTTTTCTGGTTTTTCCCTCAATAATTTACTATGGAATCACTAACAGGGAGATTTTTACTGTCATCATGTCATGTGTTTGTCTTTTTAAAGACGAATTACATGCTATGATTTTTTTCTGACGGATATTCTCAAGTTAAAGTTGATTTTATGTAATCGAATGAACATATCTTTAAGTAAAGTCGTCCGGCGAACTCACAATATGGCAATACATTTTAAAGTCGTCTACTTTAAAATGCATAATGTATGTCTGAATTGTCAATATAAATAAGTCAGATAAAATTAAATTATAAGAATTTTTCACTATGTAACAAAAACAAAAATTTGTTTAATTTAGTGTTTGTATTTTGAGAACGATTTCCGAAGTGGAAATTGAAACGTCAATAAACGTATTTTTATCTTTAATTGTGGCTTATTCCCAGTTAAATAGTAATTAATTTAAAATGCCACAAGAAAATAGCTTCAGAACAATCCTAAATATAATATTTTTTTATTTCAGAAAGAAAATCCTACAAAACCAGTAGCTGTAATGCTAGTAGACTGGCAACTGGCATGCCTTAGATCACCAGCTTTTGACCTCGCATTACTATTATTCTTAGTCTGCTCCAAAAACGAACTGGACCAACTAGAGCATCTTTTAAAAACGTACCACAAGTTCTTAACAAATTACCTAAAGCAGCTAGGAAGCAGTGAAGATCTATTCACATTTGAAGACTTGAAAAGACATTGGAAAGATTATTCTATCCTTGGAATCGTGATAATGATACTGGACTTGAAGATTGTTGTAAGCAATGACTTTTACGGTGGCTTCAACTTTACGGAAAGTGTTGAAGAGATGTATTATCCGAGAGCGAAAGGCTGTTCTGGAGACATACTTTAAATTTAAAGAAAAGTTTTCAATGATACAATAAAAATTTGTTAATAATAGTTAATATTGATTTGTAATCAAATAAAAACGAGAAGTTTTAATTTTATATATAATATATATATTATAAATTATTTTTTTTACTATTTTTACAATAAATTTTAAAAATTTTATAAGTATTCTGTCCATAATTGTATATTTTAATGTTGTTATAAATGTGGGTGTCAATGCTTATATAAATAATCTCAACGACTATTTCTGAAAAAGGAATAAAACCATTCAAAAGCTCGACAAAAATTCAAAAGAGTGTTTTTTGCGTTTTTTTTGCAGAAAGATTTTTTGCAGATTTCCCCAATATTTAAAGTTTTACTATTTAACTTATCTGCAAAGATTAAATTTCTTTTCTATAATAATTTTATATATATATATATATATATAATAAATATATATATATATATATATATATATATATATATAATATATATATATATATATATATATATATAATATATATCAATTGCAATTTCTACACCCATACCCACTAATATCATAAACTTTAGTGATATTATCGTTATAATTTTAATATTTTTTTAGTAAGAAGTTAGTATATATAATAGTAGTATTGTTTAAAAAAATACTCATTCTTTTTTAAACAATGATGGTAGTGTTGTATTAATAGGTAAATACAACGTTGAGAAGACATTCAATGTCATTTCCGCACTAATTGTATACAATTTCTCTAAATGAATGTAAAATACATTATCAGAGAAAACGTATTTTTACTTGTCTTTGACAGTGCTTCAAATATTGGAAGAATTTTTATAAATGAATCATTTTTGGAGCACAGCTTAAATTTTTCAGATTATCGGGATAAAAAAAATGTAATATTATCTATATTCCACATAAATTTCAAAATGACAATTTTAAGGACGCGCATATGGAGTAAGAGCATTTCTTTAAACAGTGTTGCCTCATCTAACAAATATTATAATTTTTGATAAAAATAATAAATTTATGAAAGTAAAGAATTTGTTAATTGGCTATGAATATTTTTTGTATTAAATAATTTGTTTAGGATAGGTAAGGTTAGTATATATCCATATGTATTGGATTATCAGAGTGTATACAAACCACAGAAAATATTTACTCAACTCAACTACAAGCAATTGCAAACAAAGATAAATGGCAAACTAGCAACAGCATAATGTAGTTCAATGACGTATAATAAAATGTAGTTTATTGAGTATATTCATATATTACAGATTGGTTGTCTACACATTATCTTTTATGATCATTATCTAGTACTCACGCAGCGTTGTACAACATGAGATATCATAATTTATAGTTCAATATTGGTGTTAAAATGGTTTCTCAAGCAAAAATTGAATCGTGGGTGATTCAATTTCTACAAGATCAAAAATATGAAGACTACCAAATCGAGTTTAATGGAAAACCTGATAAAGATACTGGTTATATGAGTGATATTAACTTTTTAACTGTAAAGTGTACGCATTCAAATGAAGAAAAATTCCTACACGTCGTTCTAAAACACGACTATTATCAACAACGTGAAACAATAAAAAACGCATTCATAATCGAGACATTAATATACCATACAGTATTGCCAACATTTAGGAGCTTTGAATTAAGGAAAAATATAGAGGATGTTTTTGACAGTGCGCCAAAATACTTTTATAGTCTCAACGATAAAAACACACAAATTATTCTTATTGAAAACGTAACGAACAAGGGATACCGTATGCATGATAGAAGAAAAGCTTTCGATATGGATCACTGCAAACTGATCCTTCGTGAATATGGAAAACTCCATGCTCTTTCATTTGCGTTTAGAGATCAACACCCCGAAGAGTTTAAAGATTTATGTAAACGTTTTCCAGACATCCACGCTATATTTGCTGCCCAGAAAGATATGCAGGAATACGTGAAAAGTAGAATAGAAGAGATGGCGAATGTCCTCAAAATGAACGGAGATGTAGAACTCAGTGTACGGCTGCAAGCTGAACTAGAAGATGCGTTTAAAATTGAAGATGAAGAGATTCGTGCAGAAGATGGGCAGGTGGTTATTTGTCATGGAGACAATTGGAACAATAATTATATGTTCAAGTATTCACTAGTAAGTATACGTTTATAAGACAATATTTTATTTTATATGATGATATAGAAATATAAAATAGTTAAAACTCTATATCACTTCCGGTAAAACCGGAAGTCGCCAACAACTTATGTCAAATATTTATATCTGCCAGTCGGAATAGTTTTTTTTTCTCAATCTTCATCATCAATTGGCCTATATTTGTCCACTGCTGAACGTAGGCCTCACGTAAAATTTTCCACCTATTTCTATCTTGAGCTTCTTGCATCCAGTTTGTGGTGATGCGCTTGATATCATCCGTCCATCTAGTCGGTGGTCGTCCTCTGCTTCGATATGCCTCTTGCCTTGGTAGCCATTCCAGAATCTTTCTGATCCATCTATCATCCGTTAATCTGGCAACATGTCCGGCCCATGCCCATTAGCATGGTTATTTTTTCAACTGCATCTGTGACTCCTGTTCTTTTTCTTATTTCTAGGTTTGGTACTTTATCTCTGATGGTAACACCTAATATTGATCTTTCCATAGCGCGTTGTGAACTCTTATTTTATCTATTATTCTTTTTGTCAGAGTCAGTGTTTCTGTACCATATGAAAAACGCGGTAAAACGCACCGGTTAAAAACCTTTCTTTTTAAACAAACTGGGATAATAGACTTGAATGTCTATGCTATGTGAGACCTATCCTTCTTTGTATTTCAGTTGTCTGATTATCTCGGCCTAAGCGAATCTCACGCCCTATAGTTCTAGATATTTGTCAGCTATTACTTGATCGATGCTATGGCTCTCAATCAGAATTTTACCGCTGACTACAAGGTTGGTCATATATTTTGTCTTTGAGGTGTTAATTTTAAGACCAATTGTTTTTGACACTTTATAGAGCGTGTGCAGCATTTTTGTAGCTTGATCAACTCTATTAGATATTAAAACGATGTCATCGGCAAATCTTATGTGTTTCAGAGATCTTCCCCATTTATATTAATTCCCATATTATCCTCTCGTTCCATTTGCTTGAACTATTATATTCGAGAACTGCTGTAAACATTTTAGGGGAGATAGTATCACACTGTCTAATTCCACATTCTTTCGAAACTTCTTGATATCTTCATGAAGGATGAGGACACAAGCTGTACCAGTTTCGAAAATACTTTTAATCAAGGTAGTAAATGCAGCAGTCAGCCAATGCTCGAAGCATTTTATGATGATCCATAGTATCGAACGCATTTTAATAAACACAATAAAAATAAGAAAGTTACAATATCTAAATGAGCCCATAGCCACTTCTGCGTTATTTCCTTTAAATCCAAGTTTGGCGTTAAAATCACCCATTAAGATTAGGTGGTGGGTTTTATCTTTTTCTATAGCTCTATTTATATCTTCATCTCTATGGCTCGTCGTGGCTTACACTCTCTATTTTTATAATTTTATTTAGGTGTTTCTTGTGCACCAGAAAGCCTACGCTGCCAACTGCCATATCGTTTTCTCCAATGCATGTAGCAGATGCCTTGATTTTAAAACTAATTGGTTTTCTCCTTTTCTTTGTATTTCGGAAAGTCCCAATACATCCCATTTTATGCAGATAAGTTCTTCCTGTAATTTAATGAGCTTATCTTTAGTTACAAGCGTTCTTACGTTATAAGTGGCAACATGTAATGTTCGTTGTACATGGTAGCGTGATTCTTTGCACCCTCTGCCGTTGGTCCAATCTGGTGGCTACCGTCACCAGGGACCGTTGGAGCCGCGGGGACTAAGGGCCTTTTTCTAGTTTGTGTCATGTCATTTACGGGGAAAATTAGCCATTTCACTACACGCTGGCCAGTGCGGGTTGGAATCGGGATATATCGGGATCTGGTAAGGATTAGAAAATGGGTAGGAAGATACTTTGGGGACCTGGCCTCTCCTAAAGACTTGGACATAGGAGAAAGTCAGTAGCTAGCGTACGGCAGGGACACCACTCCCTGTAGCAGCCTGTAGTCTACCGGGATCGTAGAGGAGTGCTACCAGCTACCGCTTCTCAATCTTAGTTAGTCTTTAATAATTATTTAAGTATGTTTTTTAGATTTATATTTGTTAAATTAAAGACTTCTTCTTTACGACTCGTTAATATTAGAATATAATTAAACTACTCTTTTTAGGATGACGGCTGTGAAACTCCAAATTCCGTAATGCTTTTAGACTGGCAACTCTCCGGTGTTAGATCACCTGCTAATGACCTATCTAACTTCCTATTCCTCACTTGTTCTAAAAAAGAACTAGATCAACTTGAAGACCTTCTGCATGTATATCACGACGCCCTTACAGACCGTCTCAAGCTTCTAGGAAGCTCAACAAACCTGTTTACTTTTGACGATTTGAAAAGACACTGGAAAGAGAATTCAATGTTTGGACTTCTCGGTATGGTCATCGATTTAAATCTCGCTGTCAAAGAGGATAAAGATTCCGATGTTATGGAAACGCCAGAGGTTTTGTTTTATGAAAGGGCAAAAGCGGCAATTTCAACTTATTTTAAATATCAAGAAATATTTTGAATAAATGATTTGTGTTTTAAGTTTTTGTTAAATTCTGTTAAACCTAAATTGAACCACCAGTTAGAAGAGAATGAATCCAAAAAGTAGATTTTCGGGAAATCAATAAAAACTGTTTATTCGTTCTATTAAATTTTTTCTTGTTTGATAATGACATCTACTATAAAGTACAGTTTATATAAGTTAATTTGGACTGGACAAAACCATCGAGCAAAAAGACAAAAGAAGGAATCTAATCGTTATGAAAAGGAGACCAAAAAAGTGGCCTCTGATGGCGGACATTTCCGGAAATGCGAATGCGCCAAATTTAAATTTTCGACACTTATTAACAGTAGCTATAAAATAGTTTTCAGAATGTGTCTTAAACGAGAAACTTTGAATAAATATAAACTATAACAGTCTAAAATGTGACATAATTGTTAATAAACTTCAATATAAATAAGATTTCATGTGACAGTTGACACAAACAATAACATAACCCAACTAAATTTGATTTCTTAAACAAGGAAAGAATCTTGCCTCTGCCTCTGAAGATGGCACTTTCTGTCTTAACAAATATAACAATATTTTTGCCCCCACTACCTTTACATTCCCTCTTTTGTCTTTTTTTTTGTCTCACGAAGTGAGATTTTTGTTTCCAATTTACTCTTCTTTGGTGACATTATAAGTGCAACATCATTTGTGACCAGGAAAAGTCTTCAAACTTCATTCAGTACTTATAAAGCTACAAAAAAGTACAAACATGGTGTTTTCATCATCATCATCGACTCCACAACCCATGGTCAAGGACTGCTCAAGGATAAATCTCCATTCTTCGCCTGGTTCTGAAGTCCACCTGGTCCTTAAATCGTGCTCTGGGTCTGCCTCTCCTTCTCACTACCATCTTGGTTATAAATATGTTTTGACGGTCTCATCTCATTCATACTCTCTCTATGTGACCTAGCCACCGCAGACGGTTTATTTTGATGGACCTAATAATATCAGGTTTGTCATAAAGGCGGTAAAGTTCGAAATTATAGTGTCTGGGCCATAATTTTACTCTCAAAGCATTTTAAATGTTCTTCATCGCTCTTTTTCATCGTCCATGTTTTCGACGCGTAGGTGAGGATGGGCTTGATAAGAGTTCTGTGAAATCACTAATGTGTTTTAGGGTTTTAATATATTGTTTCTTGGTATATTACAATCATTTTCCTCGCAGAATGTCTTCGTATTTGGTCCAATACTTATATAACTCCATAGAAACCATAAATTTTTTGTTTCAGCACTTTAATTTACTCTTTTTTGGTTACATTACAATTGCAACATGATTTTTAACCAGGAAAGGCCTTCAAATTTAATTCAATACGTATATGACTACAACAAAACTACAAACATGTTGTTTTAAGACTTGTAATATATTGTTTCTTGGTATTTTACACATATTTTTCTCACAGACTGTCTTCGTATTTGGCCTAATACTTATATAACTACACAAAAACCATAATTTTTTTGTTTTAGCACTTCAATGTACTTTCCCTATGGATATATGACAAAGACTGCAGCATTTTTCACCACGAAAAGTCTTTAAACTTCCTCCAATACTTATATAGAACTTCATAAAGACTGCAAATATGGTGTCTTAGGCTTTGAATATATTGTTCTTGGATTACATTACAAAGGCTACAGCATTTTTCACCACGAGAAGTTTTCAAACTTCCTCCAATAATTTATAAGACTTTATAAAAACTGCACATATGGTGTCTTAGGCTTTGAATTTATTGTTTCCTTGTTATATTACAAAAACTATACCAATTTTTTCTCAAAAAATGTCTTTGTATCTGGCCCAATACTTATACTGCTACATAAAGACAATCAGTGTTTTGTTTTAGGACTTTGACAGTTCCTTGGTTACATTAAAACTGCTACATCAGTTTGCACTATAGAAAACAGTTAATTTCTGTCCAATGCTTATAATACTACATGAAAACTGCCAGTATTTTCTTTTCAATCTTTATTTTAGAAAACTTAATACTGAAACAATAAAAAACACATGTAAGTCTATTTTTTCCCTAGTTTACTATTGACATGCCTCCTCGGAGTCCATCTTAAGGCAGTGCTGTCCACACACAACCTGGGCCTCTTATATTGACTGGATTTTATATGTTCTTCTACTAACTTTGGCGTGACGCATATCACATGGTGACCTTTCCAATATTTGATCATGTTCATGCTTTGCAATGTGGAGATTATATCTGTTTGACTGATGCTCGTCATTTGACTGAAATAAGAAATATTATTGGATTAGTGACATTAATTTATATGATAAAATTCAATTTTGCCATTAAGCAATTGATAAAACAATCAAATATTACATTTACCTCAAATCTTTTATTGAAATTGTCCCCCGAAAACCCCGCAAAACTTCCAGCAGTACCCAACTCCAATAACTTCTATAACTTAACTTGCCTAGATCACTTAGAGGTTGTTCAGGACTGCCAACTGTGCCTTCCAGTCGAGATAATTCATAACTGAAAGCTATGAGCAATTTGCCATAACCTTGTCTTTGGTAGGGAGGTAAGGTGAGGATACAGGCTACATTGTTGCCATCCCGGAGATTCTTTTTCCTAAAAATGCTCAAGTTATTAAGTAGAACTACACAAAAACCAGTAATACAGAGGAAATGTAGTCAGCAAGTCATTATTAAAAGAATTAATTAAATATGAAGAACTGTACTAAAAATGTCTCAAATTACAATTATATATTTACCTTTGAAAAATATCCTACAATATGTGCACCCTGTTTGTCGACTTCACACAAAATATAAAACAAAAATGGTTCAACATCAAAATATAAGGTTTTGTGGTCCAAAAACAGCTTGGCTAGTAGACATAAATTCTGACAATATACTTTATGATCCTTTCCATCCACTTCATACACAGATAAGGTTCCTTTTCTATAAATTTCTTTTCCAACAGGCTGACGTTGAGTACATTCACTCTAGAACCAAAAATTATGCTTTAAATTGTTTAGAAAATCTTGGTGATAGAGGTTTGTGTATATGCAGTTGGAATATTGGCTGGTGATAGGAGGTGAAGCATCAAATTATTTTAAATTTATGTAATTTATTCAATGTACATATATTCCTTAATCTCATAAACACACTTGTGAGTTTTTTACTGTTCCAATCTGAACTGGAAGATTTTTTTTATAACTTTCTTAATAACTTTTTGTTGTTTTATGTTTCATATCTTCTACAGACTATCATCTTGCCCAGTGTAATCCAAATTTGACATTCAAAAACAAATAAATCGGTAAGACCAATAAAAAAACATATTATAAAATGAGCATATATGTTAACCCTCCGATACTGTTGCCATACAAGTATAACTTTTCATTTGCAGCTTTGATGAGAGAGATTCATACTATTACACAAATTAATCTCCATCGTTCAGGTTCTGCCCGCCGTACATTTCTAAGTATTTGCATCTTTGGAGAGCTATAATTGTAATAGTATTAGCACCCTAGCGCTGGACTTTTTTATGAATATCGTTTTCTGAAATTTGTTTTGTAATAAGCGAAAGAAAAGCAATGCATTGTAAGTAACTAAACAAAAAGACAAACAAAAAATGATTCAACCACTTCAATAGAAAGAATATAAATTTTCCGCCTGTAGCGAAAGGGTTAGCAGTGTATGATGCAGTATTTTATTTATTTATTTATTAACGGATATACCATTTACATTGCAACAAAATATATAAAATTTTACAAAATAAGCATAACATTGGAAAATAATAAGTAAAGTTTAACAAAAACTAATAATTATCTTGAAAACAAACTAATATCACACAAATAGTAGCCTCTTTATCACATTTTAAATTGTTCTAAGGACTGGAAAAATAAGTCCAGATCACTTGGTACCTATTAGATAGTCTCACCATATGAGTAAGCAGGCTTGAAGTATTCATAATATAAATTGACGAAATGGTGATGAAAGAACAAAGTATGGCCTAGTTCCATGAATGGTAGTCAAGACCTAATCGATTTAAAAGTTCAGGGGAAAATTTATCAAATTATTAGCAATTTTGTAAAGGATATTAGGCAAAAATAATCTTTTCGCTGATTCATAGAAACCATTTTCAAGTGATCAGCTATCATACTATAACTGTATGAGACAGAGAGGTCATGAAAAGCACTAACCAGCTGATAGTGTTTACCAAATTTAATGCTGAACATGATCAAGCTTGTCTATAGATGTTTTGATAGTAAGGTCTCCATACAACTATTGCATATTCTATTCTGGATGCAAATGAAATTATTAAAAAGAATTGGTAAAACAAAACTTGAAAATTGAGAAGTTGTTTCTGGTTATAAAACCTAATTGTTTAAATTGCACTGTTACTGTGACCTCTAGATGCTTACGAAATGCTAAATTTACAATTACAATAAACACCTAAATCCTTAACAACAGTCCCTGCTAGACAGCTGAGTGTTATCAATGCTATAATGGTAATTTAAAATTGTTGGCTTCCTGTGAAAAGTAATAACACAACACTTATCAATGTTCAATTTTATTTCATTAGTTTGCACCAATTGCTAGATCTGCTGAGATCCTCTTGTAGCTGAATTGATGATATAGACAAGTTATGACTTTATAAATTTTTTATAATCAGCAAAGTTGAGAAATTTTAAATACTTAATGACTTTCTCAACATTGTTAACAAAGAGGACAAAAAGTAGAGGACCACAATGTGACCCCTGTGGTACTCCATAGAGAATGTCAACAGATTGAGACAACACACCATTTATCTTAATGCTCTGGGTGTTACCCACAAGAAAACTATCATATCAATCAAGCCATTTGCCAGCTATACCAATGGCTCCTAATTTACTGATTTAAATAACAATGATTTACTTTATCGAATGCCTTTGAGAAATCAGTATATATGCTGTCCACCTGGTACTTCCTCTCAACGGCACCCAATATATCATCTTGGTAGACCAACAAGTTTGACACTGTACTCCTCCCCTTTGAAAGAAATGCTGTTGGGGTATTATTATATTATTTGTTAATTGTGATAAGTGAGAAGTCACTAGCTTGTAGAGAGGTTTTTGGGATTGCTGACTGTATACAAATTCCTTGGTATTTTTCAATATCTTCCCTTTTACCTGACTTAAAAATGGGTACAATATAACTGTTTTTCCAGAAAGAAGGGAACTTACCAGTCATAAGAAATACATTATATTATATTATTCCAGTACCTTCCAATAAACAAGAAAGGATTATTAAGAAAATAGATGTATTGGCCATTTAAAACTATATTATACAACACAAAAAGTATATTATAAAATCATACTTTACCATATGATATCTATAACTTTTTTCTAATCTCATATACTTCAGACAATATTCACAGATCCATAATTTGCTCTGTCTCCCATATTCTTCTGGAAAAGGACTAAAATACCAGGTATCAATTTCAAACCTGCCAATCTGTATTTTGTCTATGTATTTCACTTTTGTTATCTGTTCATGTTCTTTCTCTAAAGCTGCTGTTGTGGGATCCATTTCGGCATAACTAAAATACAACATATTAAATATTTACATTTGAAAAATAACAACAAATTGGTCAAATTGCCGAAGACAATAGCAGGAGAGTTCAAAGTGTCTATTGAAGCAAGTTCTGACAATTTTTCAAATAGTTCAAAACTGTGACTGCTACAAAACCTAAACAAAATCTATATCTACATATACAAATTTTATCTAGACATATCACACAATTTTTAAGATTACTTATTTATCTAATAAATCTACTTACGTTTTTTGTATATGATTTATTTCATCATGCCTTCTTTTTTGGTTTCTAGTTATCTTTCTATCAGAATTATCTGATAACAAATCATTGATCAGTGGTCTATCTCTCAATACCTTCATATCTAACATCCCCTTCTGCCCACTTTCTGTCATATTGAACCTGGAAGACATTATTCGTCCTCTTGGTACCTGCCCAGAAAAATATATTTAAATGTCTGAAATTCGGAGGTATAGATTTATAAGGTCGTTAATAGCACTATTTTCTTGAAATTCAGATACCATATAACTTTGACTCAAACAGGACTACATCAAAAACAAATATTTCATGTTTAGGCAATTGTCCTTTATTACTTACCCATTCATCCAATCTTCTGTTATATCCTTCATAATGAACGTAATATTCGTACTGTCTTTCTAGTTCATTGAATCGAGATTGTATAATTTCAGCAGGATCTAAAATTAACAAACATTAAGAAACATAGTTACTGTAATTCATTTGTTAAATTATGTTTCCCTTGTTTGTGAACAATTAATTACAACAAATTAATTCATAAATTGATAAAATATTACACAACAATCAAGTCTGTCCTTATTAATGGTCTCATTTCTTTTATGTTTATAACAATTGCAAGTTTTGATATTTTAGCCCTTTGTATATTAATTGAAATTTTAAACTTACGCCAAGTGTCGTCAGATCTTCGCACCAAATAGTGTTCGCCAACATCAAGAGGCTGTTCTTCAGCGCTTTCGCTGTCTTCATCCTGAATATTTGGTTTATTTTCGTTATCGCTTTTTTTCGGCATTATTTCCTCGTTAAAATCTTGTCTTTTAAAATCCGCCATCTTACGTCAGTTTGAAATTATTCGGCTTCGTTTCTTATTTAAAGACGTAGTTGTTTTGGCCTCGACGTTTTATGAGTTCAGTTAGGGAAAAAGCACAAAATCTTGAAAAAATGGAGATTAATTCTAAAAAATATAAAATACCTATATATCTATGATTACTCGTAGGTTAATATTATCTTGATGATCACATATTTAAAGGATCGTTTAAATTATACTCTTTACATTTAAAAATAATATATTATAACGATCATCTCCAAGCTTATTTTGTTTATTATTTTCCATCTCTAATCACGAACAGATGTTCGTGTGTCATTGACGCCAACTGACCGTAACGCAGTATCATGCAGTAACGAATGAGGTTGCTAGAGAGAAGGGAGCTTCGTGCCTAGAGTGTGGGTGTTTGGTGTTATGGTGTTTGTGGTCATGCTTCTCGGTCTTATGTCATATCAGTGTAATCAACTCAATTATTATTGTTTTTAATTAAAAGTACAAAAAGTGTTAAATGAAGTGCGAATCTGACTTACAATTCGTGAATATATTAGCATTATGTTGAAGACCCGCAACTGTTCCTTCATAAATTAGAATATTTTTAACGAAAAGTTAGGAATAAAACCAAACGTGAGGGTTTTGTATGCAAATGATTTAAAGATAGTGTAGTACTTAAACATATGTGAGCAACAATAATGGAAATCGCAAAAGATGATCAAAATTTAAATCAAATCCTTTTGGAAGAAACGTTTTATGTATTAACCAAGAAAAACTGTGTGTTCAAAGTGCGTTTAACGCGACAAGGTCTTCATTTAATAAAAGAAAGTGAAGAAAATCACAAAGAACAAGTTGTACCAATTACAGACATAGTAGGCTGCAGATGTCTTCGAAGTAAAAAACAATCAAAACGATGTGTTTGCCAATCAATTACTAGATCAGGTAGTTTGGAAGTTGTAGAAGAGACTTCCGGGGATCTTGATATCAATGACACTAGTGCCTATTTGTATATTTACGCATATTTATTTCAAAACACAAAATCGTCAAACAAAAAAAGGGAAAGAACCATAATAACTTTGAGGTTTAGATCTTTTGATAAATTTGAAGATAACAACAGAGAAGCTCAAAGGTGGAGAACAATAATTAAGAAACTAATAAAAGGGGAGAATGTTCCTAACACCAGTATTGTCGAATTTACTACCTTGCATAAGCTCAGAGAAGACAGAAAAATCCTAGTTTTGTGCAACCCAAAAAGTGGAGCTGGCAAAGCAAAAGACTTGTTCCAACAGAAAGTGGTACCTGTGCTACAAGAAGCAGAGATTCCGTTTGATTTGTATTTGACCAAACATGCCAACTATGCAAGGGAGTTCATGAGGACCAACAATGTCTTTCAGTGGACTGGAATTGTTACAGTAAGTTTTTTCTATTTGATTCCATTTCAAAAGTGATCATTCCTTATTATATAGAATCATTTCTACCTTAATTTGTTGTCTTTTTTTATTTATTTATTTATTTACGGAATGTCCTCATTTTTACAAAATTTAACAAAAATAAAATATGCTAACCATAATGCAAGTACATACTAAAATTAAGTATTAAAGATTAAATAATAATTATTAAAGAAATGATTAAATTAAGTAAACTAAATTAAATTTCCCAAAGATCTTAATAAAATGAAATGAAATGAATACTCCAAGGTTAAATGTCACTCATCTTTGATTCCTAACCTACTCAGTCAAACAGTGCTTACTTAAATCTTACAGATTTTGTATCCACCAGATCATGAGATTGCCTAAAGTCAGAAGACATGTTTCTTAAGTTTAATCTATAAGCACAAATCTGGAGAAACTTATTCTGAATTTTTCCAAGCCTGTGAATATGGTTAAAATAGTATGGTGACCATACTGTAGAAGCATCAGGATGCTACGGACGAAAGTGAGATATAAAATTCTATATGTAGGTACTTAAAGATCTAGAGAGTTTCTTGTGATAAAACCTAGATTTGGGTAAACTTGATTTGACAAATTGTTTATGTGGGGAATAAATGACAAGGAACTGTCAAATAACACTCACAAATCTTTTTATTTCAATCACTCTTGATAAAAAGCTTGTGATAGTGATAGTGAATGTGATAGTCAAACACAACATTATCTTTAGATTTGCTAAAGGATATAACAAAACACTTATCTTTAATTTACTGGAGACCATTGAAAAGAGACCAATTATACAGGGAAGTAAGGTCTTCCTGGATCCTTAGACAATCAGATAGATTTGAAACTTTAAAATATAACTTAAGGTCATCAGCAAATAGCAAAAACTGACAAACCTTTATTACCTCAGAAATATCATTGATAAACAAATTAAAGAAAAGATGACCCACATGTGAACCTTGTGGGATCCCTGAACTGACCAAGATAGGAATTGAAAGTGAACCCTTTATAAAAACAAACTTAATTCTTTTACTTAACAGTGAAAGAAACTATTCAAGGAAGCAAATACATCTTGTCCAAGGCCTTCGAGTAATCAGTATAGATAGAGTCCACTTGGTATCCATCCTCGAAAGCCCTGATAATGTAATCATGCTACAAAACAAGATTTGTAGATGTAGATTTACCCTGCGTAAATCCATGTTACTCATTAATCAAGAGATTCCTACAATGCCAAGTAAGATATTTGTTTAGAATTAGTTCAAACAGTTTAGGGATGGCAGATAACAACAGGCCTATAATTTTTTATATTGTCTCTGTAGCTGTTTTTAAATACAGGAGTAATCTAACTGTCACACCACTTGCTAGGGAAGGTGTGTAGTCTTAAAGATAAATTAAATAATAGATATAAAGGTTTGGATAGACTGTAGACACATCTTTTTAAGAAATATGTAGGAATATTATCAGGTCCATAACTCAGTTATATCCCTTAGACCATTTATAGACTCGAAGATTTCAGAAAGTGAAAATTGGATAAATGGAATGTCAACAGAAGTTTTTACTTTAAAATTGAAGTTACTTAATTAACCTTGTATGAACCATAGACACTAGAGAAATGTCTCGCAAACAAGTTTGCTATGTCCTCACTTGATTCAGCTAACAAGTCATTAAAATGCATGACATTGGAATTCCGTGGCTTTTATTGAAAGAGTTTATATTGTTCCAAAATTGTTTTGAGTAATTAGTGAATAGATTCCTCAATGTTGGAGATATAAGATCTGTAGCATTGATCTGTTAATGTTAATGAAAAAACAAGTTTTTTTAAATCTGGAGAAAACTAACCAGGAAATTTTGTAGGTTTATGTGTTTTTTTGAACAAAGAGTGATATTGCTTCAGAAAGAACTTCATAGAAATTATTTACTGAGATATTAATATTTGAATCATCAAAAACAGCAAAAGTAAATATTTTGCAAATTAATGACGAATATTAATAGTATGACTAAAGTCATTTAAAAATTCTTTACATTTTTCTTACTTTTTATCTATTTTTTTAGTCTTTATTCATGATGAATGATTAATTATTTCATCATACCAAAATAATTTGTAATTGCTATGGCATTGCTAATTTTTTACTATACTATATTTATTTCGTAAGTTTATCAAACATGTTAATCAGGTTGTAAATACACTGTGTTCAGTTAATATAAGGAATTTACTTACTATATATAAGAACCTACTTCTGATTTATAAATATAATAAAAATACTTCATTGCTAAGTTATTAAAAAAAATGAATTGCCAAGTTTTGATATAAGGTTTTTGTATCTAGTTTATTGTTTCTTAGCATCTGAAGTCTCCCAGTCAATGAATGAGTGGCACCAAGCCATTAGTTCTATTATCTTACTTTACACATCATTGTAAAACAACAGTGCCTTTAATAGGAGACATCCAAAAAGACAGCAGTGCAGTATTCTTTTGTTTCAATTGCATTTCTTGCTACTTTGACAACCCTATGTACCTGATCAATTGTTTCATGTTGTTGCCTGAATCCAAACTGATAATCTGGTATCAACTTTTTTATGTTAATTGCAAAGTTAATTCTTTAAAGGAGTGTCGTTTCAAATATCTTAGAAATAATGGAAAGCAAACTGATGGGACAATAGGATGACAGTTCGTTTAGATCTTTATTTGATTAGATATAGTCTGTATTAGAATAATTTGTGCCATTTTCCATTGAAACAGAAAATAGCCCAACTTTAGTATAGCACTAAATATGTACATAAACCAACCAAAGTCCTTCTCCAGGTAAATTTTTGCAGATTTTTCCTGATATTAAATCATACTCTGGAGCTTTTTTAATATTGAGAATTTTAATTTCATTCATTTTTATATTTTATATAGGAGGTAAGATCTAGTAGGGTGCATCTAAGTTTTTGTGAATGAATTCTTCCATTGAGACAGTTCTGGAGTGAGGTAAAAAACTTGGCTGAGATGATTAGCGAATGCTTGTGCTTTATCATCATCAGCCCTGACCCAATCATCATCTTTCTTTCTAATGGGACTATCATGCTTAAGTTTCTTAAAGAATTTCCAAATAGACTAAGTTGGTGCACAATAAATCCAGCTCATAACTTTCCGTTAACATGTCAGGTTCAAAGACTGTTCAAGGACTGTTCAAAAACTGTCAAGACAATTAAAGGACTTCCAATAAATATTTATAAATAATCAATAATTAATTTGTGTTTCTAATAAAAATCTTGTATTTTCATCTTTATCTACATCTTCTAAATAAAATACCACATATAACTTTCGATAATATGAGCAAAAGAACCTTGCAAATCATATTTTTTCTAGAAATATTTTCTCATGGCTTAGAAATATTACAATAATTTTAGCACAACCAAAAATCTTTATTTTCATCTTCACCTTGATCTTCCAAATAAAGTAGGTACCACAGGCGACTTTAAGTAATATGACAAGATATAATTCAACTGTTTTCAAGATATAATAAATATAAGATTTCAGTTGAATAAATCTCATAAATGGAATACATCTAAGGCCATCCTTTTCTTCTGAACATACATTACAATTACATTCACTTGGGTTTTCCAAATTGCCTACAAGAGAAATCAACCTATTAACCTTATTTTAAAGAAATTACACAACTATTATTGCAATGATATCTCTCATAAATACCTCGGTTGTTAAAAAAAGCTATTGATTATACACTCAGATGCAAAAAAAACGCAACAGAAAATTTTGGTCAAATTAAAGTATTGTATTTTTTTTATTTTTAACCCTATTTTGATGATTTTTTAGCACACTGTGTATAAATTTATATTTTGGTATAGTCAGTTTTTTTTATAAAATTTTATATTTGACTTATGCTACAGGATTAATTACAATGTGGTTTTATTATCCTAACTTTGAAACATCCTGTGGAATAATTCCGTTTGCGAATTTTCGTAAAACCTTATTTTTCGGTTGCAACCATGTCTCCTAAGCATTTTGTTTTTGTTTCATATCAAAATATGCCTTAGTTCATTTTTTAGAGCCAAATGAATTTGGCACCCGTAATTTAAGACTTTTTTAATTATGATTATTTTGGAGTAGTTTGTAATACGAGGAGGTGACTGTTATCATTATGTCATATTGACACTTACATTTTGTTTACGTATGATCGAGCATGGTTCTTAGTGTCGAAGATTGTGAGAAAACCGCTGCTCTGGTTGAAGATGGGCGAAATTAAGAATATCTGGTTAGGTTAGGTTTCTCTCATCGCTCTACCATCCAAAGGGAAGTGGAACATTTTCAGGAAGTGGAACAGGAAGAGCAAAACTACCGCTTTAGATGATCGTTTTATACGAGTCAACGCTTTGCGGGATCGTCATTTAACAGCGGTGCAAACAAGAAATCAGCTTCAAGAGGTTCGAGGCAATAATGTAAGTGTATTTACAGTTCATCGAAGATCAGGTACATGAATTTGGTTTGCAAAGTTGCAGACCAGCAACTGGGCCCAAATTACTTCCACGGCACAGAGTGGCTAGACTACAATTTTCCAGAAAACATTTACATTGGAATTTAGGACAATGCATTAAGAGGGTTGTAAAATATGTAGTATACCCATTAACAGAATGTAACAGACAGCAGGCTCTGGTTACCAATACCAAAAGAAGAAGTTAGCAATAACAATATACCAAAATTAATGGATTGATAGAAGATCAGAGACACAAAAACATCACTATTTACCTATAAGATCGAGGACAACCATTAATAAACAAGAACTTAAATTTTTTTTTTTTTAATAAATGTAAAATAAAATTTATTAAATCATTATTGATACCAGGAAATACAATATTTAAGGTAAATATAGATATTTAAAATTTTTTTGATTTGAAAAACCTGTTAAAAAAGATCTTTCGATCTGTTTAATTCTGAAGCTGCCTCTGGTTAATTTAGTCTTGTATATTCTAATTTTACTATCT